AGCTGCTTCCTCCACAAATTTTGCATCCACGTTGTCATGTCCTTCAAAAGCATACAGAGCTGGAAGAAATAAAGACAAAAGAGTTACTATGTAGCCATGGTAAAACATTGGGCCTACAGCTCATTGAAATCGTAATTATTTTATATTTGAGTAAAACACGTGACTCTGAAAATGTGTTGTTAAAATTTATTATACGTAAGCCCCAAGAAAGGTCATTCATATCAACCAAATGGCTTTTGAGCCTCTTCAACCCTCTTCAACCCTTCAACCCTAATCACCCCTCATGAGTGATTATTCCTTTGGTAATTTACTCCAGGAACTAAACTGTATGTTACTGATTAAAACCCGCTGCAGTAAGGCCTACTTATGAGTAAGGCGTATTCTGGAAAGAAAGGGGTACGCAGAAACGAATCGGGACTGACGTGTCAAAAGAAAAGCAGGAGAGCCCTGAGGACAGATAAGTGCAATTACCTTGATTGGAAGATTCTATATCTGTCAGTATTTCAATGAAGTAGTTCAGAGGCAGAAACTCCACACTGCCTGGCAACTTGTCAATCATAGAACTCTGAGGCTAAAAGGGAAACCACTTCTGGTATTAGCAGACTCTCCAAAACAAGCACAAACTTTAAAAAGGGGTGGTGGTGGTGGTGGTGGTGGTAAGCACTACAATTGCTGACTCTGTGGCTATGTTGAAATGGGCAAATAGGATCCATACAACATCTGGTGGGCTGTGCTTGCCCACAGACTCACCTGTTTCTTATAGTTCAGCAGCAGTTGCTTCACATGGTTCCGCGAAATGATGTTAGAACTCATAGGATGATCCCAAAGTCGACAGATCTTCTGACCAATATGCTGTTAAGCAAATTGAAAAATACGTAGAGGGGGATTTTTAGGGCAGTGAAAATACTCTGTGTGATAATATAATGATGGACCCACTCACTGCATTATACGTTTGTCTAAATTCATAGAATGAACACCACCGGGAGTGAACCCTAATGTTAACTGCGGACTTTGGGTGATTGTGATGCGTCAGCGCAGGTTTATCAGTTGTAACAAATGGACCGCTCTGGTGGGGGATGTTGGTGTAACGGGGGAGGCTACACATGTGTAGGGGCAGAGGGTGTACTGGGTATCTCTGGACCTTGCACTCAATTTTCCTGTGTATCTAAAACTAAAAAAACTAAGTCAAGAATAACAATAAAAGAATGGAAAAAATATACAGAAGAGAATGTAGCTTATACTGGCATCAAGTACGTGTACCTTTATCTACTTATAATTTTAAAAGGATTATTCCAAAGTAGCTAGTTAGTCTAAAGAGAGGCCCTTGGGGTGCCTGGGTGGCTCAGTGGGTTAAGCATCTGCCTTGGGCTCAGGTCATGATTCTGGGGTCCTGGGATGGACCCCATCCCTGCTCAGCAGGGAGCCTGCTTCTTCCTCTCCTGTCTGCCGCTCCTCCTGCTTGTGTTGGCTCACACATGCTCTCTCATTCTGTCAAATAAACAAATAAAATCTTAAAAAAAAAAAAAAAACTAAAAAAATAAAAGGCCCTTCATGGTTAATGACCTTTGAAGAAAGGCCATTTCCTAGGAGGTGTGCTTCTGAATTTTGTTTTTTTTTGTTTTTTGTTTTTTTTTGCTTCTGAATTTTGAATAAATACTCCAATTCAACCCCAAGGAAAGTAGTTTATACACTGATCTTGCCAAATTTCTTTTTCTGAAATGGAGTTCATCTGCTATTCTTCAAAACTGGGTACCTGCAACTCTAAGCGGTATCTTGCTAGGAAACAAAAGGTTGTAGGCATGTTCTCGCCAATGTCTTGCTCAAAAAATGTAATTCCCTACGAGATTGAGGCAAAAAAAAAAAAAATCAAATTTAGAGACCAAACTAAATGTTCAGAGATTTTCCCCAGAGAGATCTAGCCATGGAAAATATGCCTTGTTTTCTGCCCTTGCCGGGCTTCAGTGAGCTGCGAGGAGGAGGGGGTGTTACAAAGGAAACCGAGGAGGCCCAGAAGGACTTCCCTGCGTGGGAGGACGGAGCCGGAGGTACAGGCGCTCCAGGTATGTCAACAGCAGGGCCGGCTGAGCTCTGGGGTCAGCAAGTCCACGAAGTCCCGGGCTCTAGGACCTTGCTGTGGAATTCCGTATTTTCACAGTAGTTCTGACTTGGAGAGCTAACACATCCCCCATAAAAACAAGGAGTGTCTGGACAAGCCTTTCTCTCATGTTTCTCATTCTTCCTTCAACCTGGGAATGTTTTCCTGCTGTGGTAGAAATGGCAGTGGGGGGAAATGCAGTTCCAGAACCTTCTGACCTCACCTGTATTTAAATTTCTTATCAGTTTAAATGTCCAAAGCACATGTTTCCCCTCTCCCTCCCCTCAGGCTCACAGATGTAAATATTAGTGTGGTTTCCTAAGAGGGAGAAACTGGCTAAATGTTCTAGGCAGGCCGTGCCAGGCACTCCAGGCCAGGGGCAGTACAAGCACTTTCTGGGCGCAGCAGGGAACGGCTGGTGGGGCGGAGATGCATGGGATTTCTTGGAAAGGACTGAAAAGTGAAACAATCCAGTTGACTTTAGCCCAAAACAAGTAAATGCTCCCTTTGCAAGAAGAAACTAAGGAGGTTTACACCAAGGCTTATGGAGAGAATAAGAGAGAAGTCAGGATTACCGGGGGAAGCCGCACAATGATGCTGAATTTTAGTTTTTCGTTGTTCTCGGAATTGTCCAGATCTACAAAAAAGTTAGATTGGCAAAAAGAACAAATCTCCATTTTGATATCTGAGCAAGCGAATAATACTTCGATGGTTCATTCTGATAACACACGTTCCCCACCCTGAATTCTCAGGCTAAGTCTAACAATAGCTTGAAATTTTTAGTTTGTGTGTCTCTGAATTAAAGGGCTTTCCTTTACTGACGTGCTTCTGTATGTGGGACAGGGTTCTGAGGCTGCCGGTCACAAAACAATTGTACTAAAACAGAAGGCACCTTGGGCAACAGCAAATACTTTAAAGTATGTTACCCCAACACATCTGTAAGCCACCCAATGAGTAATTTCAGCAAGTGGATTAGACTCGAGACCTTCAAGTCCAAACTCACATGAGTGCTGCCTCTCTCAATTTTTCTTGCATTTCCAGTCTGAGATGATGGAGTTAATCAGCTATTCCATGATAGTAAGCCATTCCATGACATTTTCTGGAGAAACAAGCCTTTGGAGGCTCCTATCCTCAAGTGCCCTCATGTACAGAAAAGGAATGCAATAGCTGTGTGTGGATCAAGGAGCCTGTTGGGGCCTCTTGAAAGTCTACTTTAAATTAGCCAAAGGCTGGTTACCGGAAATGAACTGTACTCAGCAGGACAGGCTGCGTAATTTTTGGGGTCCATTGCAGAAGACAAATGAGGACACCCTCCCCACCTGTTCCAATATTACAAATTTTAAGATGTAATGCTGAGTATGCAGATGAATGTGGGGCACCCCCGAGGGCAGCAGGGCCCTGTGTGACTGCACGGGGTGCACACCCGGGAAGCCAGCCCAGATGGGGCTCGGACTGGCGCTGGCCCTGTGGCAAACTCAGAGCCTCTTACCTTTCATGAGCCGTATGACAGCTGTTTCAGTGAGCAGCAATACCCCACTGTCAATGTAATGCAGCAGGTTATGCAAAGGGAGACAGTGGACGCCAAGGATCGTGTGCAGAGTATGAAAACCTAGATGAGAGACCGGGGGTGGGGGTGGGGGGGGTAGTACGCATGATTAGCCAGCCTTCTAGAGGGAGTGAATTCAAGGATAGTAATAAAGCCCTCAGCTCAGTGCCTTGACACCTAGAATCTAATAAATGCTGCTTTTGATTTTTTTTAAAAGATTTTATTTATTTATTCATGAGAGACACAGAGAGAGACAGAGACATAGGCAGAGGGAGAAGCAGGATCCCTGTGGGGAGCCCGATGTGGGACTCGATCCCAGGACCCCAGGATCACGCCCTGAGCCAAAGGTAGATGCTCAACTACTGAGCCACCCAGGTATTCCTAATAAATGCTTTTTTTTTTTAAGATGTTATTTATTTATTCATGAGACACACAGAGAGAGAGAGCAGAGACACAGGCAGAGGGAGAAGCAGGCTCCATGCAGGGAGCCTAATGTGGGACTCAATTCCGGGTCTCTAGGATCATGACCTGGGCCGAAGGCAGATGCTCAACCACTGAGCCACCCAGGCGTCCCTAATAAATGCTTCTTGAAGACAAGGTCCAAGTCTCCTTCTTTGTGTTATCGTGACTAAGTACTGTGCTGGGTCTATGGTAAGTTCCCAACAAGCAGGCATGTCCTTTACTTTGTTTTTTTTTTTTTAATTTTTTTTATTTATTTTATGATAGTCAGAGAGAGAGAGAGAGAGAGAGAGAGAGAGAGAGGCAGAGACATAGGCAGAGGGAGAAGCAGGTTCCATGCACCGGGAGCCCGACGTGGGATTCGATCCAGGGTCTCCAGAATTGCGCCCTGGGCCAAAGGCAGGCACCAAACCACTGCGCCACCCAGGGATCCCATGTCCTTCACTTTGTGTCCCTTCTTCAGCAAAAAGAGTGCAAGGCCTGCTCAATGAAAAACAGTTGTACAGTGTAACAGGTTTGCAATTCTACAGTAAGATGGCAAAAGAGAACAATTAACAGAAGACCTTCAAACTCTATATGCCCAGGCTAAAAGGCTGATTAACAGGGACCACACTTTGCTGAGGTGGAAAAATTTTGAACCAATCAGGGACAGTCTATATGCTTGATCTCTGGGTATGCCCTAAAGAAAGGCTTTTGGGGTCTACTTGAACTAAATTATAAACAAGAAAAATCTAAATAGGGATCCCTGGGTGGCACAGCGGTTTAGCGCCTGCCTTTGGCTCAGGGTGCGATCCTGGAGACCCGGGATCGAATCCCACGTCAGGCTCCCGGTGCATGGAGCCTGCTTCTCCCTCTGCCTATATCTCTGCCTCTCTCTCTCTCTGTGTGTGTGTGTGACTATCATAAATTAAAAAAAAAAAAGAAAGAAAAATCTAAATAATATGGTCAGATAGCAAATCTATAGGAATTCAAGAGAGGAAGGCAACTCCCTCAAACCTAAGTCTTATGGGGAGGGCTATTCAAACGCTCAGAAATCCAGAGTTCTAAGCACACTATTAATAATAAACAATAAAAACCATATCAATGGGAGAAGATATGGGTCCAGGAAACAATCAGAAAAGCCCTCTCAGAAAAGACAGGACATGAGGGGAGCTTTGAAAGGTAAATGCAATTCCTGGGGGTGGAAATGAGGCCAGAGAACATACAAAGTGGAGGCAGTTGAAAAAGCCACCTTGCCCTGAGCAGATCTGCACTAGAATCCTGCTGTTGCTTACCAGCTAAAACTTTGTGAGCCTCCATTTCCTCCTCCCTAAAATGGAGCCATCAGTATTTTTTCCACAGGACTGCCTGGAGAACCAGCCCTCGGTCTATGAAAAGTCTAGCACAAAAAAAAAAAAAAAAGAGTCTAGCAATGGGGTAGCACAATGGTGACCAAGAGCAAACATGTAGCAAGGCCTTCAATCTCTGCACTGGCTAACCTGATCCTCATACAACACTATGATGTGGGAACTGCCTGATTCCCACTTTATAAATGGGGAAACCAAGATTCACAGGAGCTAAGAAAGGCCTGGGATCATATAATTAGGAAGTGGCAGAGCTAAATTTGAATGCAGGCTATGGGACTTTAGCCTAGGCTCTTAGCCATGACATTATCCTGCCCCAAGAATTGGTAGCTGGATTAATGGGACAATATGGACAGAGGCCCAAAGGTGAGGAAGTATGGGGCATATTCAGAAAGTATCAAATGACCCAGCTGAGTTGGAATCAGGTATACAAGAGGGATGGTAGGAGGTAGGTTGGAATGGCTAATTTATTTAACAAATCCCTTCCAGACACCAGACAAGCAGCTGGGTGTACAATAATGAGCAAAACAGACACCACTGCTGCTCCCATCCACCTCCCAGGCCGCTGGGAAGACAATCAAAGAATTACAAACATATACGTTCTTAAAAATGTGACCAGTTTGGGGGACCTGGGTGGCTCAGTTGGTTAAGCATCAGACTCTGGATTTCGGCTCAGGTCATGATCTCAGGGTTGTGGGACTGAGCCCCGCATCGGGCTCCAAGCTCAATGTGGAGTGTGTTTGAGGTTCTCTCTCCCTCTGCCCCTCCCCCATCTTTCTACCAACAATGAATAAAATCTTTAAAAGTGACCAGTTCTATGAAAGAAAAGTGCAGGGTGCTCTGAGTGTGCATGACAGGGATTGAATGCTGAATGACAGAAAGGAATCTCTTACTTAGAAGACTTTGGGGAGGTACACTGAAAGCTTCTGAGCAAGATGGAAAAAGGGTCTGAGTTTTGCTCTTGGAATATTAAAACGGCAACAGGCAAAGAATGGACTGGAGTATCAACAGTTTGCTGCAAGAGGTGTGTAAGCTGTCGGTGTTGGCAGGCCACTGCATGAACCTGCACCAGGGGTGATGGAGGCATTGACAGTGAAGGAGAAGGAGAGGGATTGGAAGCATGTGGCAATGGGTCCAGACGTGGAAACTGACGGGGTGTGGGTAGGGAATGACAATGGATCACAGCCTAATCTTAGGAGCTTACATGAAAGACATGATGCCCAAAGAGCCGGAATTTGAGTTCAGAACAATCGTGGAGTTTTCTCTCTCTCTGAACACATGAATCATGAGCAGTGAGAGACTGAGTCCTAAGTCTTAAGTCCTTGGCCACATCAAGGGTCAGATAAAGTGCAGGCTCTGCCCACAAGCAGATGTTAAGGGGCTGACAACAAGATGACGCCACTCAAAAAAAAAAAAATAGTGATTTTACTAAGTAACCAATAACATGAGATTTTTCAAGTAGATTTGGACATTCTTTCCAAGATTAGAAAAAGTTATGAAATCTGCTCTGAAGAAAAGTTCATTAGGTTCCTATAGATTTCTTGGATTCAGAATTCCTCCTCTAGACCTGTGTCCATGTCCTAAAGATCCCTGATGATCCTTCATCCTTTATCCCTAGGGCACAGCCCCACATCCAACAGTCCGTTCTTGGCTTTGGGTCAGCTCCAAGCAACAGAGCAAATTGGCTATCAGAGAGAGAGCGAGAGAGAGAGAGAGAGAGAGAGAGAGAGCACACATAAGCAGGCATCAGCTTCAAAACAGAGCTTTTCCAGCCAACTCTAGTTCTCATCTCCACCAGGGCTCCTGGCCTCCTCTAGCCCATGGGGGAACACAGGTCCCATTTAAACTACAAGTGCTCCACCTTGAAACCATGACTTTTTCATGGCCCGCATCCTCTTTATTCCTTAACCAACTGGGTTACAAGTTTCCAGCCCTTGGAACTCAAACATTTCTCACAAGTCCAGCAGGCTTGGAGAGCAAGCCTATATACACAAGTACATGAAAAAAACACCCTGTATTTACACACACACGTGTATACCCATGTGATCCAGTGTCACTTCACCTCTCTTTCCAGGTCACATGAAGGAAACAAACATTTAAGAGAAAAGGAGAGATACCACTCTTCCTTACCTGACCCATGGAAACAAACCATAAAGTCAACTTACAATAATTCTTAATCACTATCGATAACACTTTTCCATGTTTTCCCTCCTTACATGTCCCTGATGTTCCATAGAAAGTAAAGTTTTATGATCTCCCAGATATAATATTGTCCCCACTAAGTCACTTTCATTTATTTACAAAAGAGGCTTGAACATCCATGGTGAACAAATCTCAAAGCATGAATCCATGCCCCTACCAACTCTTTTGTGTTAATGACAAATAATTAAGAGTTGAAGCCAGAAAACCATACATAGTTTTTCATGAAATCCCTTCACTCTTTCTAGAGGGCACCTTGAAATTCCTATTCTATTGGGATAATTTAAAGTCATCCATTCTTCTCATGAATAGTCACTTTCGGATCCCTAAAAAATCAAAGGAAACCCTTTTTGTACATCCAATATCAGCAGATCTTATAAGATAAGGCATATGTTGGATAGAGAAAGCATGAAGGATTCCAAACTGAATCAGATGTATCATAAATGCAGACAGGCCGAAACATGCTGTGGGGATTTCTGGGCCAATAAATTGTCAATGTTTCAGCATCAACCAATTCAAATGAAATATAAAATTCAAGAGGCAAGCACAGAATAGTAGTAAAAGCACAGATTCTGGAGCCCGACTTCCTGGATTTGAACACTGACTCTGCTGCTTAATAGCTGTGTGTCTATTAGGCAAGTTACTTAACCTTCCTATGCCTCAATTTCTATAAAGTGGGAATAATATTAAGTGGAACTATATGAAGTGCCTTTTTTGTTGGTCAAAAACTGGTTGGGTATTGGCAATTTAATGTGGTCCAATTTAAGCTCCTACCGTTTAGGACTGTTATGAAAATGGAATGGGCTCATTTAAGTAAAGTACTTAGTATAGTAACTGGCACAAAATGGGGCACCATCTACATGTTGACTTAAAATGAGTAAAGGAATGAATTACTGATAGATGATGGGATAGATGTATATGAGTAAATTAAATTAAGTTGGCTGATAAACATTATGGAGTGATAGTTATCATAAAGTTTAGCACTCATCAGAATATGTACATAATGGGGGCATCTGGGTGGCTCAGTCCATTAAGCATCTGCCTTTGGCTCAGGTCATGATCCCAGTGATGGGCTCTCTGCTCAGCAGGAAGCCTTCTTCTCCCTCTCCCTCTTCCTGCTGTTCCACCTGCTTATGCATTCTCTCTCTCTCTCTCTGTAAATAAATAAATAAAATCTTTTTAAAAAAAAAAAGAATATATATGTAATGAACACAAGGCAGACAAGAGCTTATTGTTTCTTTTTTTTTTAAGAGCTTATTGTTTCTTAAAATGAATACATGTTACCAACTAGATTTCTGTTACTTTTTGTAACTGCTCTAATTTCTAGCACAGTATATGGAATGTAAAAAAAAAAAAAATCAACCAATGTTTGTTTATTGAGTGAACAAATGACCAATTAAATAAATGACTACATACATGTGCCAAGGGTGTTTTGAGGCCTGACTTGGTCCTGTTTCAAAATCCTAAGGGCGATTTTTAGCTTCTTAGCACATAAAAATCAGCTATTTTCTAACAGCCAGACCCACTTCTTCCTGAGTGTTAACTTTCTCAATCAGATAAACTAAGCCTGCAGACATCAGGGAAAGATCTCCCTGAATCAGCTCCACTGGTTCAAAATATCCTTGCAAGCTGTGTAGAGACCAGCTTCAGCTCCCAAAAGTTAGTGACAAGTCACAGTATAATTTAATAATGAGGGGAGATTTGGTCTGCAGAGACCAACGTCAGGCCCATCTCTCACACTGACACCAGACACACAATTTCTCAAACACAGAAAGTCTCATCCTTAAATCAGTAATGTTGCCAAAATCTGGGGACCATGGTGAAGAAGAAAACACATTTCTTACAACAAAGGACAAAAGAGCCAAGTCTTACCAGGAGGCAGAGGTAAAAACAAACTCATGGTAGCTTCCAGAATCCTGGTCATGATGTGAAAGACTGTAAATTCAGCAGCACTGGCCCGCCTGCTGACGGGTAAAACAACAGAGCCGCCATCAGCCAAGGGGTTCATCTCTAAAACTCCGTTTGTCTAAGCAGTGGCTCTGAATAGCACATAGAGATGGAATTCATGCTAATTATGAAAGGCTAGGCCCTGCTGAAAGCTTCATGAGAATGATGGCAACCATCAGCCTAATGCCTAGAATCTAACCAGACAGTAGGCGTATAAATGATAAATTGTATCAACCTAAATTCCCCTTCCTGGCAGTCCTGAGATCACGTGCCCCTCCTCCCCATCAACCATATGCCAGGGAAAGAGGACCGGTAAAGTAACTGGGCCACTCCTTTAAATGATGAGTACAGAACTAAGACAGTGTCAGGGCTGGTGACAACTGTTTTCAGTTGTTAACTTCTGAAAAAGCTTTGCCAAAATGGGCAGCAATTAGAGTTGTTTTAGCCCTTTGTACACCTTGATAAAAGAGAGTGAGAAATACTTGCGTACAAGTGGAGAACCCAGGGGTGAAGATGATGTGTCCTCCAGCTGGTTTCTAGTATTTGGCAAATGAGATCCAGCTGGAGGATAAAGACAGTCTGTTAACCTTTGCCCGTTCCCTCTCCCTCCGGGGTCCCTACAGCGAGCCCCCCACAGGCCTGACAGGCATGTTCAGGGTGGCTGGCATTCAGCTTGCGCCTGGACACAGAACCAGCCTTTCTGCAGCCAATTCAGAGGTCGTGGAATCCAAAATGGAAAGACTGAAAATGTGCACCAGAGCCTAACAGAGTCCCTTCTGTCTATGCAGGCAGTGCCCCAGCTGAGCTTCCCCAGCGTGGTCAACAGGCCCTCGGTCACAGGCCCTCTGCCAGCAGTGAAGGCCAAGTACAACTGGATTTGCTCTTGGACTGTTCCATGACACAGGCCCACAGCTGACAATGAGGAGAAAGGAGACACAGAATAGAATGGAGGTCCCGAGCATCAACTGTGGAGTGCGACCAGTTTCAAGTCCGGGTCATGCATTTGACTAGTTTGTCAGCAACAGAGCAGTCTCCCTGGGGCTGTCACCAGCCATGGATCCCATGCCCTGCAAGTGTAGCCAAGGCCAGGGGGCAAATCAGAAAGGATCTCCATATAGGCACAGATAAAAATAATTAGTTCTCAACGACACAGATTCTCAGTGTCTCTTTGGCTGAAGTCTCGTGCTGCAGCAACTTCTTGCATTTGTTTCAGAAAGCCTGTCGGGCCACTCTCCTGCGAGGACCAGGGGACATGGCTGCTTGCTGCTGGGCAGGAGCAGGCAGATCTGGCCTCCATCAGTCACTGCTAAGTCAGAAAATCAGGGTACTGAGTTTTCTGGGGCTACATCTCTACCACTTCTGGTCGCATTGCTTCTAGTGGTTAATACAGACTAGTGTTAAAACTTTTATGGGTTTAGCTACAGGGAAGAATGATGCTTGAACAAAAATCTTTAACACTTTGCAAAGTGAAATTTAAAGTCAACAGAAAGAAAGGTGGTGGACATGTTAAATACTTGTGTTATTAAGGGACAGGGAAAGCAAGTTAATACCAGCATGGAGAAGATAAAGGCCACATTCATAAGGTGAGCTCCTCGGTACGGTTCTACTACGAAGAATTATTATTTAGGGAAGTTTCAATGCCTCGCTTGTAAACATCAATTTGTGAGAATACCAACCTCTGCTAATGTATTAAAAATTGTGAAATTCTCAACATATTGTTTAAAAAACAGACACTAATGACTGTAATAAAGGCAGAAAACTTTAAAATTAAACATGAAATCCAGCCAGGGCCATATCTAATACATTTAATCTTCCAGAGTTTAATGCAAAAATGTATGTTCACACACTGGTCATTTGCATACTTGTCTTACCCCAAATGGGAGGAATGGAGTGTTCTTTCTCTTTCTATGAATTTAAATACTTTAGGAAATTGTCTAGCATATTATTTCTAGCTTCTAAGTAGGGTCAGGCCTCAGCTACAAATGCTTTCTGAGAGACTCAAGACCACCTCAAAATCGGTCTAGCCATAGCATTTCTGTTTATACATGGACTGGTGCTATTAATTGGGATCACACAATTCCAACAGGTGGCTACCTGGTGGATGAGCTACCAATCTCACCAGCAGACTCTAATGTGGTAGTATTTACACAATTAAGCAAGAATCTGGCCTAATTGGGCTGTTGGCACTCATTAAGAATTTCAGTTCAAGTTCTCTCATGTCTTCACCAGCCTCCATGTATAGAAATCATTACTGATAGTTTAATAAGGAGCTGGAAGTTGCCAAGAGGCACGTGAGCATTTGGCAACCATGCTGAGCTCATCACAGCTCCATGCTTCCGTGAACATATAGATCACTATTTGAAGGGAGTGTAATAAACCACTTTCATAACCAAGTCCCCCTTGTTTTTTGGTTCTTTTTTCCCTTTGTTCAATCTATAGCACCAAACACAGTGGTTGGAGGACAGAAAATCTGCAAAAACCTAATCTGAAAAACATACTGAGCCAAAAACTGGGAGCTACATACTGGGGGGGCTGGGGCAATGCAGGACAGAGAACAAAAAGCAAAACCAACCAGTTTTGAAATGTAGTCCAGAACCATCTGTTCAATTTTCTTCTTTTCTATACCCTGTAGGTGTCTCAGGAGATGCTCTCTTAGCTCAGACACCATCTGAAAACAGGATACAGGTTAGATACATCACAAACTACCCACTCACACCTGCTACTGTTTTAAGCTAGATCCATTTATTAACAGTTTACCAATATGAAAAATACTGGACCTGAAGAGCCCATTGGCAGAAATGTATAACCCACAGTGTTACTTTAATGGGCATACATCAGGGACACCAACATTCCTCAAGAAGAACCGCCGATACACCCAGAGCCCAGTGAGCAGCCGAGAGGCAGATTCCCAGCCGTGATGAGGATTCTCCAAAGAAGCCAAGGGAAGCCACTAACTTAGAGGTCAAGGGCTTTGGGATCTACCAAAGGGTTGAAGTCTATTGTTCCCAGCCCTGGAGAACAAGGAACAACCTGAATGATGAACTATGTTGATGCAGGTGTACCGGGGAGAGGCATGCTTTGAGGCATTGGAAAGATAGAGGCAGGAGTAAAAATAAAATGCATCAGGTACCTCCCTCTGTGCAGGGGCTCTAGGCATTTGGCATAGCCCCCCGACATGCAAAAGTAATGAAATAATTGATTCCATCACCTCTAAACAGGCTTGTATACCTACTCTGTTTTTTTTTTTTAAAAGATTTTATTTATTTACTCATAGAGACAGAGAGAGAGAGAGAGGCAGAGACACAGGCAGAGGGAGAAGCAGGCTCCATGCAGAGAGCCTGACGTGGGACTCGATCCAGGGTCTCCAGGATCCTGCCCTGGGCTGCAGGCGGCGCTAAACCGCTGCGCCACCCGGACTACCCTACCTACTCTGTTCTGATCTTTCTTGGAGCTCACCCATCGGTGTAGCATCCCAGCCCTCCTCACCTTTTGCTGTTTTGTCTCCTTTTTTCCTCCTCCCTTTTGCCTAAATGCCCTCCTCAGCTGGAGGCTGTCCTGGGTGGAGCGATCTTTGCACCAATAAACTCCATGGAAATTATACAACTGACCTCATGTGTGCACATATCTTCTATTTTGGCAGATTTACACATATGACACCCGGAGCAAAACTTAGCCCATGGCATTCTGGGCCGTGTGTTAGTTAGGTATAAAACTTTAAAAATTTTAAAGATTATTGCATGCTTTGTCATGCTTTTCAATTTTTCTGTAACAACCATAAAGATGAAATTTTAAATCACTCATAATCCTATCATCTGTGGTAACATTTTGGATATTTTATATCCCTTTTTTCCCAGTGTGCACACTTATTTCAATGTTTTCTAATTTGCTTTTTTTCATAAAAAAATGACATAGTTTATGTCATTAAATTTCTTTACCACACTGGTTGTAAGGGCTACACAGTATTCAGATTTTATGAAAGTACTAAAATTGAATTGGATATTCTTATTCTCATATGGAATACTTCTTATACTATTGTAAACAGTACTAAAAAAAACCTCTTGTATATGATTTGTTTGCCATATCCCCAATTATTTTCTCAAGCTAAATTCCTAGAAATGGAACTTGTTGGGTCACGTATGTAAGGTTTTAGAGATACTTCCGAAATGCCTCCTGCTGTGGTTATACTAGTTTTCAACTGCATTGCATGGGGCTGCCCAATTCCCTGTACAATGAACTTTGCTGGCATGAGTTTTAAATTTTTGACAATCTGATATGCAAGCACACACGCATATAATTTTTTTATTAGATTCCTTAATCCATCTGGTATTTCTGTTGGTTTGTGGTATAAGGTGGTGGTATTTGGAATAGGAGGACTCCAACTGTCTTCCAAATAGCCAGCCATTGATTGATTAAAAATTATTTCTTTCCAGTAATTTTTTAAATGCCTAACTTATCGTACACTAAAGATTCAAATTTAAACTAGAGACTCCTGATTCTGTATTTTGTACAAGCACCATATTGTTTCAATTACTGTAGGTCAATAACACACTTGGCCATCTGGTAATGTTAGTTCCACTCCTCTGGTCAACCATCAGAGAAATTTCATTGGCTTTTTGGTTGTGATTTTATTAAGCTTAGATGCTAAGGATTTGGAAATGGAATAATGTTTTTCATTAACTTTTCTAACTAGTTAATCCTAATAAAAAATAAATTTAGAATCAGCAGCTTATTTACTAATTGCTTAATATTTTCCATTTCCCCAGGTGATTATTTTGTTTATTGCATTGGACAATCATAGCATCTTATTTTACTTTTGCTTACCACACTGTATAGAATTTCCAGACAATGTAAAATTTTAGTGAAAATAGCAAGAATCTTTATCTTCTTTTTTTGAGAGAGAGTGTGTGTGTGGGCAGGAGTGGGGAAAGGGAGAGAATCTTAAGCAGGCTCCATCCATGCCCAGTATAGAGCTCAAGATGGGGCTTAATCTCAGAACCCTGAGGACATGACCTGGGCCAAAATCAAGAGTTGGACATTTAACCAACTAAGCCACCCAGGTACCCCTCGAGATAATATTTGATATATTTTTAAATTATTTTACGGTTATTGTATTTTCAAGGATTTCTACTTCTTCTTGGCTCAAGTTTGGTATTTCTATTTATCAAGGAAACTTTAACTGGAATTTTCAAATGTGTGAATATGTATTTATACATATTTTAAAAATTTCTATATTTAAGGTAATAGATTATCCCATTCCTAAGCCTGCACAGTATTAAAAATATTTTATTACACTTTCCATATGTCTCTTGAATCAGTGTTTTAAAAAATAGATTTTGGATTTATTTACCAATTCTGCTCTCCCATTCATTTATTTTGATTTATCTCTCTTTGGTCTTCCCTGTAGTAGGACTTCTTGAGAAAGAATACTTTATTCTGTTGTATTTTAAACCCCAAACACAAATGCCACAGAGACATTGTTCTTGTCTTTCCTTGTTTTAAACACTCGGTGCTGTGCATTTCCTTATGATGTTTTGTAATTATATATTCTGGGTGGTGACTGATTCATCTACATCTCTCCCACCAGACTATAACTTGTAAATGTGCAGAAATCATATCAGTGTTGCTTACCATTGAACACACAGGGCCTACAGTGGCTGGTAATGGCTATGCATTAAAAGAGTGAATGAAAAATAAGATCAATGTGAGAAGCACAATCTAGCCCTTTCCCCTTCTCTTGAATCCTGTTGTTTCCCAGCACCCAAGTGGCCCACAGACCACTTACCAGCCCTATAAGCAGCCTCTGGTGATAGTCTTCCTCCTGGAAGAGGGGTGTTAATCTTGGCTCTGAAATTAAACAAAACAAGAGTCAAGCAGAGTGATTTTTGGAAAATGGGCTAGAAGAAGAGAAATAAGCCTGGGTTTCCCTTCTCTGAGTTATTGGGAAAATAGACCATTTTGCTGATGGGATGAAATTTTTTATTAAATGTGTGGCCTATTCCTGCAAGCCAAACTTATCAGTCAGATGATACACAGAAAGCTCTACTCTAACAGACTAAGAGAGAAAGAAAACAAGGAACCCATTTCCCAACACCAACAGGCTCTGGCTTTGAATTCTCTTTAACATGAAAGCTCACCACTGTCTAAGAATCTGTTTCACTGGAGTCAGAGACACTTGGGCCTTCTTTTAACCCCACGGGGGCCATAAACACAGGGACAGGGACTTAGTGGAAGGATTACATGACTGCCTTCTTTGGGACCCCCTGATAGTTTAATGACTTTGGGAGTCACTGAACTGAGGGGGATCTGTCAATTACTGTAGCAAATAATATTAATTGATACAGGTTATCCAACTAAAAAGGTAACCAGATCAAGAAGAAAAGTGACATGGAAGGTGAAATCCGATGATTTGCACTACACCAGCAGACTGGAGGGGCAGGCAAACACAGTCTTGTTGGCAGATGTGCCCTAACACTCACTCTAACAGCGCCTTTGTGCCCTGCTCCTCCTCTCCTGGAGCACCTGAGGCACACAGCCATCAAGAGAGCAGAACTGCCCTTGGTCAGTAGGCTGACCACCCTGGGTAGGCCAGCACAGATGCCTCTCGACTCCTCAGGATAAATCCAACCTGGATCCTAAACAACCTTCTTGATTAAGATGAAGCAATTCAAAACTTGATGCCAGCAGCCCTGAATTTCACACAGATTGTTCTGTTTCTGTTAATGATGACGTTCTTCCTAGGACACAGTGCAAGCAAAGCATGTGAGAGGAAGGGACAAGTTCCCAAAGTACACCCAGAGAGTGACTGGCCACAGGATGCAAACAGGCTGGGAGTACAGGAACAAGAGCTCCAACAGGGACAGGACTGACGGATACAACAAAAGCTTTGACAAACAGCAACATTTCCCATGTTGCAAAATTCCTAGCGGAGCAAGAAGGGCGAGCCTGAATCAGGCACATCCACACCCTGACTGCCAGGCAGGACACTCCTGCCTGCTGCTCCTGCCGGTGGTGGAAGCCCTGGCTTCAGGCACGGATGGTCTGCTAACACAGGCAGAGGCTGCTTCCCTCTGGGCTGTGCAGTGAGCACAGGCTCTGGCGGCCTGTGCTGGATCACAAGGTCACTGTCAGGGTTCACGTGAGCTGTGTGCACAGCTGCAGGATGCACCACAATGCACTGTATAAAATAATTTCCGTTAGGATCGCCCAACATATACCTAAACATCCAAGCCTATAAAACAAAAGTGGGATATCAAACTAACAGCTTTTTAAGTGAAGGCTGACCTTTATGAGGCATGAAAGAGTTCCAGTGACAAAAACCACAAAAAAAGCTGTACCTAGATACGCTTAAAATTCTCTTCCCCCAGTTGCACCTGGCAGGGTGTTTATCAAGACTTACCTCGGATGTCACTCCTTCTGGAAAGCCTCTTCTAACCTTGCTCTCTTCCCCAACCATCCCCACTCTTGACCCAATCCCTCCCCCATCGTGGTTCTATAACACCTGTCACCTGGTTTAGAAATGGTGCGTTTGCATTTCTTCCTCACATGTTAATGACAAAGCAGCCACCTCAGGCATCTCTTGTGCCAAACACTGTAACAGGCACTATAAACATTACCCCATTTGCTCTCATTTTCCCCCTCACCTTGCCCTGAAAAGGATAATGCACAAAATGAATACATGGCTCACCCACGAGTACACTGTCAGCATGTGGCTAAAACTGGAACTGAAGCCAAGTTCTGTCTGGCTCCAAGCCCATGCTCTTCCCCCAAAACCACAAAGCTTGTCCAGAGACTCCTATCTTTGTACTCCTATGATCTAGCCCAGTGAGTGCCCAAACATTAACCAAAATCAAAGACCCTTGTATGATTAGATGGCTGGAAAGAAAGCAGCACTAAGCTAGAGGAACTGCAGAAGGGCATCCTGTGGGTATAGCTACAGGGCATGGTAATTAAATCAAGCCTATGAAGAAAAATAACAAAAACCAAACAGCCATCACTCAGGGACTCTTCCAGCAAAAGCACATTCAGCAGCTGTCCCTAAAGGTCCTGGTGCCAAGACAGACATGGAAAGAGCTGGTTGGATAGATAGTAAAGGGTGCTGTCTTCATTACACTATTGGGCGTGATTTTCTTGCCAACACGGGGGTAGGAAACACAGTGTTACAAACCAAACACTGACTGAAATCCAGAAGGCTTTATTACAGGTCTTTTCTTACCCAAATTCCTTGCTTCTAGGTTAGAAATCACCCTACAAAGAAATTAGCCAATGTTATTCACATAGGAAGATTTTTTTTTTAAAAGCCACAATACCATACAAAGATATCCTCCATAAAACCACTGCAGAAACTGTTTTCAGGTGGCTGAAAACCTCAAACACTTTAATCAACTTGACAAAAGCCACATTAGGCAATTATAAAATCTCGAAACCCTTTAGCACAAACAATGACAACAATTTAGAACAATCGTAGCTCTCAGTTATTGGAAATAATGGGAACAGAAAATAGAACAAGGTTGGAATGGGGCCTGTACTTGTAGCACTCCGAGATGACTCATCTGTCCTGAAAATGGGCTTTCAAAATAAGAGCCAGCTCATCAGCCCACTAACGCTTTTTAAATGAACCTATTGTCTCTACCCTCCAAAGTGCTCACTTAGTAAGAGCTCTCTTTGCCACTTATCGCTTATATTTCATCCACCCTCAGGATGCAAGTCTATAGCGTTTAACATATACAATTTTCCCACTAGAAACTCTAGCATCAAACTCAAGAATAGGGCCCAGGTGGCTGCATTCATTAAGCTGATGGCATCATTTTATTGAGGATACTCAACAAAAGTAAACTACTTCCATGAAAGGTATCCAAAAAAAGTAACTGCAAAAAATAGCCATCTTGTAGGTACTAATCCCTAATTTTACTTACTTCATTGCATTATCAAAAATATTCCTCACATATACCATGGACCTTCTTCTTCCGGTTTTCTAGAAGAGAGAACATGTCAGAGGTGTAGAAGATAGAGGTTTTGTGGGTGACATTTTTCATACCAAGGACATAATACAATATAGTAAAGAGTTTTGGAAAAAAGAAATATACTTTCCAAGTAATCAAAATACATAAGGTTCTTAAAAATTAGTTAAAAAACATTTTATTCTGAAATTATTATGGATTTATAGGAAGTAGCAAATCAACTATACAGTGTTGTGTTACATACATTAACACTACTACTGAGAGATCTCATGGACTCTTCACCTAATCTCCTCCCATGTTTATATCTTATATAAATAATGATAGTACAACATCAAAAATTAGAAGATAGATATTGCTGGAATGAGTGTAGAGCCCTATGTCATTTCATCATGTACATAGATTCATGTGCCACAATATACCACAACAATCAAGATATAGAACTGTTTCATCCTCCCAAAGATCTCCCTTGTGCTGCCCTCTTTTAGTCAGTCCCAGCCACTCTTCTTTCAATCAGCCCTAACCCCTGGCAACCACTAATTTGGGAAGACTGGATTTATTTAAACCAATTTTTAACTATACAAATAATGCAAGAACACAGATAAGACCTGGATGTTAGTCTCACTTCTACTATGAACATGCTGTGTGTGTCCCTTAACTTCTGTGCACTTGATTCTCCTCAAGAGAAGAGAGATCAGAGAAGCACTGTGGTCTTCTTGCAACAATGCAAAAGAGCCTGGCAATTAGGGAGAGTGCTGCAAATTTAAGCCAGCCTTAGAACTTAAGGGCAACACCTCATCTAACGCTCTGTACTTTTGCTTCTTGCTTTATTCTCATGAATCCACACAAACCTCTTCTGAGATCAGGCTGTGCCATTCTCTCTTGACCATGCTGTTGTTATAGAGCAAGCATGGTTTGGAGCACTTAACATATTCCAGGTTGGAGTTCAGTTTTTCCCAGTAGCCCTTAAAGCTGTGGACCTGCAGAAGACAAAAAAACATTGGTGAGCTTGACAAGCAGGGCCTCTGGCCCCAACCAACCAGCAAGAACCACTCAAGCCTTGCTGCAAAGCCAGGCTCGCCTTACTTCCTCAGCTCATATAGGGTAGCATTTCTGAGTTAATTCTTCCCACGAAAGATGGCATTCTCCTCCTGCAGGAATTCTAAAATAGTAAGACTTAAAGAGTCTTGCTTTCCCCATTTCCTTTTCTCCTCCTTTGATAGAGAACTACTGCTCACTTTCCAAAACCTGTATGAATCACCTAGGTTAAGGCTATGTTGGGAAGCCTGTATTAAACTCTGTGTTGTACTAAACACATAAAATTGTTTCCTCTCCAGACACCCACTTTTCTGACTTAGGTTGTACTAACAATGCTATATTCAGAGAAAGTTCATAAGACTTATAGCACAGGAATAGCCGTACTTACTGCTAAGCTTATCTATTACCAAAAGATGTCTTTCTGAACCGAGGAATCAGAAAGGCGGAGTGAACTAGTTTCACATTTAGTCATAAAATATTCCAAAACTCCAAAACAGAATTTGCTGGCATTCTATCTAGGTCCTTGACATATTGCTATAATTGAAGCAATAAAGTATCCATTACATTTGTTTTTAAATACAGTGCAATACTAATGCTTTTTTTTAATATTGAAGAATGTGTTGACACAAATAGTTTTAATTTTTTAATATAAGATTTATTTATTTAAGAGAAAGAATGCATGAAAGTGGAAAGAGGGGCAGAGGGAGAGGGAGAGAGAGGATCTCAAGCAGACTCCCTGCTAGCACGAAGCCTGATGCTGGGCTCGAGCCCATGACCCTCAGATCATTACCTGAGCAGAAACCAAGAGTCAGATGCTTAATCAACTGAGCCACCTGGGTGCCCCTATTTTTTAATTTTTAAAATTTAAATTGAAGTATACTTAACATACAATCCTGTATTGCAAGGGTACAATACGATGATTCAAGAATTCTATATATTATTCAATGCTCACCACAATACTCTAGTCACCATCTGTCACCAAAAAACATTATTACAATCTTATTAACTAGATTCTCTCTGCTGTACTGTTCATCTCTAATAATTATTTTATAACTGGAAGTTAGTTTACCCTTCATCTAGTTCACCCATTCCTCCCCCCCACCAACACTAGATTCTCTCTGCTGTACTGTTCATCTCTAATAATTATTTTATAACTGGAAGTTAGTTTACCCTTCATCTAGTTCACCCATTCCTCCCCCCCCACCAACACTCAGTTTGCCTCTGGCAACCACTAGTTTGTTCTCTGTAATTAAGAGTTTGGTTTGTCTCTTTTTAATTTATTTGTTTTGTTGCTTAAATTTTACACATAAGTGAAACCATATGGTCTTTGCCTTTCTCTGTCTGACTTATTTCACTTAGTACTATGCCTACAGGTCTTCCCATGTTGGAGCACATGCCAAGATCTCATTCTTTTTAATGACTGTGTAATATTCCTTTATATACATATACCACCACTTCTTTATCCATTCATCTATGGATGGACACTTGGGTTGTTTCCATATCTTGGCTATTGTAAATAATGCTGCAATAAACATAAGGGTCCATATATCTTTTCAAATTAGTATTTTCATTTTCTTCAAGTAAATAAATACCAAGTAGTAGAATTACTGGGCCATATGGTAATTCTAGTTTTAATTTCTTGAGGAACTTCCATACTGCTTTCTGAAGTGGTTGTACCAATTTGCATTCTCACCAACAAAGTATGAAGATTCCCTTTTCTCCCATCCTCACCAACACATGTTATTTTTTGTCTTTTTGATTCTAGCTACTCTGACACGAGTGTGGTGAAATCTCACTGTGGTTTTGATTTGCATTTCCCTCATGGTTAGTACTGTTAAGCACCTTTCCGTGTGTCTATTGGCCATATGTACATCTTTTTTGGAGAAATGTCTATTCAGGTCCTCTGCCCATTTCTTAATCGGATCATTTGTTTTTTGGGTGTTGAGCTGTATGATTTTTTTATATATATTTTGGATGCTGACCTCTTATTGGATACATTATTTGCAAATATCTTCTCTCATTCCATAGGTTGCCTTTTCATTTTGTTGGTGGTTTTCTTTGCTGTGCAAGAGCTTATTTTGATATAGTCCCAGTAGTTCATTTTTGCTTTTGTTTCCCTTGCCTAAGGAGACATATCTAGAAAAAGGTTTCTACGGCTGATGTCAAAGGATATACTGACAAAAATTGTTTTCTTAAATCAGTGAATATAGATTTATGATATACTTTCTTGCCAAAATATACATATTTATAAAAGATTTGACTAGGGCCATAAGTGCAATGTGTAGCCATAAAACAAAGTGAGATAATGCCTAGTGTGGTAACAGATTTAGCTACATTGAAAAAATAAAAAAAAAAAGAGAACTTAAATAAAATATGCCTCAATCAAGAAAAATGCCCTTATGTTAAATAATAGCACATTACCCAAATTGTTATAGAAAGGACAGTCACTACTGGTTCAAAATGAATTCTGGAGTATCCATAAATTACATAATATTAGCTTACATAATATTAGCTTGCTGTTTTAGAAGCCTGAAAGGCCCATCCAGCCAACATCCCTTCTCACAGAGACAAGAAAAACTATTTCCAAGAAAAGGTCACTTCTAGGGGAAACTGGAACACTTGTGTCACATCACGGTCCCTGATTGACCTACCTCACTCACCTTTTCTTCCTCTTTTATTTATAATTAATGTACCTTTGTCCACCCTTTGGTCTTCCTTCTATTGAAAAAAATAATAATGAAAGCAAATTCTGCCAACATTTGGCAGTATTAAGTCCCTGACAGGAAGTCACTGCAGCTTTCTTGCTCTTCTACTCCTGGGTTAGGCACACTAACACAAAGCCTCGAAACTAATCAGTGTTGTGGTGACATCTAGTGGTTGGCTAAGATACCCGCTCGGCCTGCTTGGACAGCAGTCCCACTCTGTGGTCGGTGACATCTTGTGAGGCCCAGGACATCTTGTGAGGGCACACTGGTTTCTAACGGTCAGGGCGCCTCTTCCCCTCAGGCCAAATGTCACTGTCCTGTCAGAAGATCCCATGTGTTCATGGGATCTTCTGCAGCTCCTAAGAAAAGATCTCTCCCAAGCTACCTTCTTCCTTCCCCTTCCACCCTATTAAAAAAAATTCCTTTTCTCAGTTGAGAATAAACAGATAAAACAAGTCCATGGCTGGGCTTCAAAGGGGCTTACGAACCCACTGACTGTATGTAAAATGGAGTGAGTTGTGGGACATTTCTGGGGACAAGGTCTACAGCTTGCACCAGTGTTTAAAGGAATTCATAACCTAAAATAGCCCAAACCCCTGAGTTTAAAGAATAAACAAAAACCACTTATATTTAAATAAGAAGCACTGTTAACCAAAAGTCCTGGAATTATTTTACTATAAACCTGTAGGTCTTTCAAGGTCACTGGGCCGGATGTTATAACACAGATGAAAACAATTAGTGGCATATGTCACCACATGGAAATCTATGAGGTGATATAATTTTTTTCAGTTATGAAAATTCTCGGAGGTCACTGTAAATTGGAAGGCCTCTTTGGAAGCCTGAGTAATAGATAAGACCCAGGGTTCGAAAGTGGACTTGAGTAAGTGAAAGACATGGAGAGGATGTTTCAGATGGGTCACTTAGGGAGTGAGCAAAGTGACAAGAATGCAGATCGTGGGTTTAGATCAGCGACAGAGCATTAGAGAAAGCAACACGAGAACTTCATGCTCTGCCTCTAGCACGTGACTCCCAAGCTCAGCAAACACCTGGCTGGCATCCCCTGGACACTGGGCTGCGGTGGGTTGAGCAGCCCTAGCGCTCGCTCAGTCGGGGCAGAGGACGCTGCTGGAGCATGCCCAGGTGATCTCCCTCGCCCACCCACCCCCACAGGTTTCCTTCATCTACCCGCCTCGCCTCTGGTTCACAGGCTGATGGAGAACCAGCCGTCTGAAAACCTGTGATTGTGATTGTGTTGCTAATTAACAGGAGGCAGGGTTAAGGAGGTCGGAGCCGATCTAGGATGATCTCCAGCGTCAGAGTAACACGGGCATGCTCGGTAACCCAGGGAATTAAAGCAGCTCCAAGATAAAATTTTAGATGCTTTGACATAGAATGGGGGGAAGAGGGAGTAAAAGCTGCACAATCACATGTGAACAGTCACCCTGGGAGCATAGAAAGACACTCCTTCCATCTGTTGGTACTGATGATAAAACTAGTTGTGAAATGAACATTGGGGACAGCACCATGGACGCAAAGGAAAAGCCACAACAGCCCACAGGGCGCTTTGCAGGCTACTGCAGAAGAGCTCATAAAGCTTTAAAGTACACAAACATGTTTTATAAGAAAAATACTTGGGCAACCCTGGTGGTGCAGCGGTTTAGTGCTGCCTGCAGCCCCGGGTGTGATCCTGGAGACCTGGGATCGAGTCCCATGTCGGGGTCCCTGCTTCTCCCTCTCTCTCTCTCTCTCTTCTCTCTCTCTCTCTCTCACGCTCTCGCTCTCTGTGTCTATGAATAAATAAAATTTAAAAAAAAGAAAAATACTCATAAATTTAACTACTTCTGGGAGATCCTGGTGTTAGAAGCCATCAGATTTTCAAGGAAGCCCCAGAAGTATTTTCCTGCATGAGGAGGAGTTAAAAAGCTTGATTTTGAAAGAAGGGAAATTAACCCAAGTCTCTTCTTGAAAAATAAGGGTGCCTGGCTGGGTCAGTTGGTGGAGCATGCAACTCTTGATCTCAGGGTAGTGAGTTCGAGCCCCATGTTGGGGTATGGAGATTACTTTCAAAAAAAAAAATCTCATTTTGTCTCTAAGGAAGACATGAAAATAATTACCAAACGAAACCCATAAAAACTATTAATTGAAGAAAAGGACTAGAGGGTTACATTAAGGGATTGTTCCCCATTTATGATTTGGATTGCTAGTTGATTTGGGGAGATTAAAAAAAAAAAAAAGCC